GGGACCAGATAAGGAACTTTCCTGTGAGGAATGTGTGAGATTCACACCCAGGGTTGTCTTGATTGCTACAGGAGGAAGCATCAAACACAAAGATGCAAGACGTCTGAAAAGAGCTGGCTCTGTGGTAGAACTCAAGCTGGACTCAGTGGAGGATGTGGGGAGAGAGCTACACTGAGGAAGGTGGAGACTATTCTTAAGAACATGGATCACCCACTTCACAATACCTTGATGGACCTTCCACAGGAGCCAGAGTGGGTGGCTCCTGTGGAAGGATCTTGAGGAACAGACAAGTGTGTAATCACTGGCAGGGAGAGGAACCAATGCATTAATTATGACCAAATGTTCAGTGTTCAGTGGCCTCATTATAAACCCCCACACACTACTTCTAAATACTTTCTCTCTAGATTCTCCCCCTCCCTTGTCGCTTGCTGGGGCGTGATTCTGTCCATTAGCTGGAGCTCTGACAGTATAGCACTTGTCACAGAGAGGATTGAGACAAAAGGTCCTTGATGTCACATTCACACACAAGGATGCAAAGACTCATAATGACCCATAATTTGAGATACGACGGGCAGATGTATTTAAATTGAGCATTTGGTGGTCCTTACCGCCATCCAGCAGCAGCAAAACTCCTGGCTCCAGTGAGGAAGTTCTCCCTCAGTTGAACCTTTTTGCCATGTGTTTGGTCCCTTTGAAAATAGAAGCATAAGGCTTTTAATGTGTGACTTATTCCAGTCAGATCAATTGTCCAGGCTGATGGACGGTCATCATGTACTTAATAAAGAGGTTTGACCTTTACTCCTTCTTTATAAAGGGTCCAGGCTGACTGCAGAGCCCCCTTGAAAAGGGTTTTTCTAAATAGTAACTCTAACAACATCATTACATTACTTTTGCACATTTAAACTGTCTGCTCACCACAACTTAAACTCTAGGAATTGAAGTGGATGTCAAGTAGGAAACCTATAATTTGAATAGCACATGTGTTGCCTGCACAGCTTGGACTGTCACACACAGTTCAGGACTTTCACAATGTTTTTTTTTTTATCTTTGCTTCACTTGTTGACATGAATTAAAATCCAGTCCTTACATATGAATGCAAAATTGCTTGATAATGGTCCTGCCATGATGCGTACAATTTCGTTGTGTGGAGGTGTGCTTTTGAGCGAGACTCAAGCGTCTCACATGATACACCTGCAAACACTGAGCTCATCAGTGCTCTCATTCTACTCACATGACTCCAACCTCACTCCCTATTTTTGTGTCCACTCCTTCAGCACACAGATCATGACAGCAAACATTTACAACATGCTGCAGAGACTTACCCTATGATCTGCGTTTTTCCATCACTGCTGCATGATGAGCACTCTTTCACTGTTCTTGTCTTGAAAATCATTCTTCATTTTAGATGTTTTTATTCATCTTGTTCTGTGCGGCTCACTGCTCCAGTTTAGCAAATATCAAATCTCATTACTCTTGAGCCCTTACTCTTTGATATTTCCAAAATCTTCCAGAATTTCTTGCATTGGCCCACCCTGATTTAAAGCAGGAATTTCAGAGGGGTGTAATCAGGATTCCTTTAAGTCTTCTCTAGTGTAATGCAATCTAAGCTACTCTTCATTTGTCTTCTGTTTGTTCTGCAGTCCTGATTAAAGTGTGATAATCCCGAAAGAATTAAGAGTCAGTGTGCTGATAACAAAAAAGAAATGACAGTGTTTTAAAAACACTTGGTACAAAACGTGAAAAAATGCTTCAACAGGCTAAACCGTTTTTATTGGTTAGCTAAGAATAAGAAGAAGAGCAACTGGCAGAGCCTTGACAGCATATCTTTAGGCTAGCATCAGTAATTAAAATACATAAATCACAGACTTAGCTTTTCTGGTGCAAATACACTCCATGCAACATGCAGGCGTGGGAGGAATGGGGGGAATTCTAAATTACATGAGGTCTCCTGGTTATACAAGCCTCATGTGTGTGAGGCTTAAGAAAGCCATAAGGGACACCTCACAGCTCTTCATTTCCATTTGAATCTAATTCCTGCAGTGTTGATGTTTTCACATGACTGACGCTGCTGCGTACTCCTCACTGTGATACCATCAAAATGTAGATGTCTGCAAACAGTTTATTACAGCTGATTCTGAATGCTTCTTTCTCCGTATGTGTTAAACCTTTCAAGAGTCTGATGCTTCTGTGTGTAAGTTGCATGTTTGTTGTGTGCATGTTGGATTTCTCCTGCAGCTGAGGTGTTACAAATACAGTTTTCCCTTGAATCAGTTTTGGCTCAACAAATTAAAAAGAATCAAGATCATTTGTTTTAATTTAGCTGGATAGACCGATGAAAGATTATACACATGGAAGTGAAGGTTAATAAATGACACTATTTTCCTGCTGCTCTCTGCTACTGAATGAAGATGATATGGGTAAAATATAGAGGGTCCATCCCCTCATGACAGTCAATGCAGCGTTTCTTATTATCCAGGCCTTCTCCTCATTTTACTCTGTGATTTCTCCTCTCTTGTGGCTCCTCTGCTTCCCTATTTGTCTTTGTGTAGAGTGTGTGTTTGTGTGTTAGTGTGTGTTAAAGTGACACTCTGATCTTCCTGATTGCTGCATATTGTCCACACCTGCTGCTACTTAACCGCACCTGCTCCCCATCAAGCCCGTCCCTCTGCAGACATCCACCCTGCCTTTCCTGTTTCCAGCTTGTTGTGTCCTCCAGTGTTTGAGCTGCACACATCCAACAGCTTCAGTTTCTCTTGAGCTTTTGGTATTTTTTACAATCCGTTCATGCTTGCAAACTTTGCCTCTCCAGTTATGCACAATCAGCGGCAAACATCTCACAGTAAGCTTTCACTGAAGTCTGGACTGGATCAGGCCTCTGCTCTGTCGTTAGTCTCCTCACTCCAATTGAAAAGTATTCTAACTTTAAGAGACTAAAATTGGAAATGTAAAAAAGCAAAGTACTAAAAGTGAAAACTAATGTGTTGTTTGGACAGCAGCATTTCACGTGTGTGTGTGTATGTGTAAAACGACAGAATGAGAGCAATGAAGATGTATTGGGGAAAAGGAGGAGAATTCAGATCAGGATGATTTGACTGGGAGGGTAAAACAAAGAAAAAGCTGACAACCAAGAGATACGAACACAGATGAAAGCAAAAGTACAACCCTGATTCAAAAACAGGAGGGGGAGGATGTATCAAACGGTGATAAAAATGGCATTTTTTAGTTTGCAAATAATTCAAACTCTATACTGACTAAAAAAAAGCAACACAGATACATCAAATCTAAATGCTAAAGTCCATTTACATTCTGTTAATATCAAAATGCTAGCAAACTTGGCTCTAGCATATCAATAATTGTATCATGAGTCAGCCTGTGAACATTCATCTCATTAATATTCTGTCCGATCCCAACCAAGTACATAAACAAAGGTGTACACAAGCTTGTTAATAACCCTGACACACACACACACACACACACACACACACACACACACACACACACACACACACACACACACACACACACACACACACACACACACACATTCAGGTTGAGCTGTCTCATATATGGCCGGGTCTGACAGTTCATTAAATCTCCTTGTTAATATGAAGTATCTGGGCAGGCCAAGGTTAATGAGGCCATTCAGGCTGCTGTAAAGGTTTGACTACAGGCCGCTCCTCGCCATAAAAGAAGCTATTTGGTCCGCTATCACACTGAGCCGTAATTTCTGATACCACGCTGTACAGCAGTCATCACAACACAATGAATGTTTCTGATTGTGTCAAGGAGGGAAAACAAATTAGCCTCATTAGACCCAACCCTTTTAGCTGGGATCGTAGCAGGCTATTAATAATTGAAGCCTCTGGCTGTCACTTTTATCTGACTCAGAGGGGAAGAGGGAAGAGGGGGAGGAGGAGGGGAAAGAGGGCCGGAGAGGTGCCAAAATTCATCACACTGTTCTAAATTTAACTGTAACTTGGTGGCTGTGTCTCAATTCAGGGTCTGCACACTTGAAGTGTGGATTTCAAGTGTGTATGACGTCAGCACACAGCGCTTAGGGTGTCCCACTTGGCTCGCGATTCTGAGCACGCTTATAATGTGGTCCCAAAACCACCTTGCCCCTGCCTCTTTTCAAGCATGCATTTATGCACACTTCGGGGCCTTGGAATCCCCAGAATCCTTTGCGTGTCGCTGCACAGGTGCGCCTTTGAGATGTCAGATATGCATAAAAGTACACCTCTACACAACAAAAATGTACGCATCATGGCAGAACTGCCATCAAGCAATTTGGCATTTTAATGTAAGTATTAGATTTTGTCACCAAGTGAAGCAAATCTAAAAAAAGAACATTGTGAACGTCCTGAACTCTGTGTGAAATGAGACGATTGCAGGTGATGCCTGTTGTGTGTTTAAACAGCCTATTTACTCAGTCCAAGTTGTGCAGACAACTCATGTGCTGACTGTTGAAATTATAGGTTTCATACTTGGCATCCACTATAATTCCCAAAGTTTAAGTTATTGTAAGGGGATGACTGAAATATATAGCCTGGGGTGACACGTCACCCCAGGCTATATATATGTAATTCACACAGTGATGATAATGAACAAGACCACACTGACCCAGTGGCGGCAGTGTTGGGCAACATCGCTCCACAGGGCAAAAGAGAAACAGCAGAGCATCAAATCCGCTCCTGGCTCTCCTCAAAGAGGACATAGCCATCCAACACCAAGCAGAGGCCAGGAGCCGATAGATTAGATGCTGGCCTTATTTGAGCACTTGATCGACTGCTGTTAATTTAACAGGCAGATGCTGTGCAGGAATTTGAGAGAAATATTTATAAGAACGTCAAGTACATGCAAGTATGATTTTCTTAATTAATTAATGAATTAATTAATGTACACTCAAGTATAACAAAAAGATTGTGTGCAGTGATGACGTACCTGGGGCTCGAAGGTGTGATGGACTATCAGTGCTTTCAAAGAGATAGCTTACGCCAAGCTCAGTAACAGGCGTGGCTTGATGCCCATTGAAGCGCTGGGCTGCCACACCTCACACCAGCTGCTTGTAGGAGGTGATGAGGGGGAGTGGGTGCTGGAGGCAAGAATACCTGCAGTCTGTAAGGATGACGTGCCCTAGAGGAGGGTAGATGGTCCACCTTCTCTGTGACTCGGTGGACAGTGGAGCGGGTCATCCCAAACACCCTTGAGACTACCCTGTGTGATGCCCCACTGGCTAGCCAGAAAACCAACGCCAGAGTCTTTATTGTGGCGCCCCACCCATGCCTCCGCTCCTGTTTCAGGGGGTCCAGCAGCACTGCCAGGGACTCTCTGCTCAGCCTGAAGTCCTCCCTGGTGTCAGCAGCAGCAAAAAAGTGTTGGAAGACCGGGACCCCTATGTTGACCCTGTAGTACAGGGGTCTAGTCTGCATTGTAGGAATGGTCATGGCATGAAAATCACTTTTAATTTTTGTGAACTGTGGAGGTTAATGTTACATGTACTTGCTATTCACTGAACTGTCAATGTCGGCTTCTCAGCTGATGTCAGTAAACAGAAAAAAATAGATACCTAAGAGATTTCCAAGAAATGCGCTCACTGTGTGAATTAAGTGGAAATTTATGTGATGCACACTTGAAGAGGCCTTGGCATATGAGGCATGCACCTAAACCACTCAGCTAATATATTCCAGAACCTGACCCTTAAAAAACACTGCCTCACAAAGCCGTCATGCAGTAACTACACATTTGGTCAGGTTTTAGAAAAGGATGGATTGGACTTTGTGACATCTGTTTCATCATCTGACAAAGTTTCCCGGTTCAGTTATGTTCGGTTTTAGAAATAAAGTGTCAAATTTTCAGTAACTGCTAAACTCAGACAAAAACCACATCAATCTATAGTGAGGCTATAATGCAGTGCCAAGTGGTTTGGCTTTGAGCTGCAGGAGCACACCACTGTGCAGAGCGAATGTGCAGTAAGTGGGAATTTGAAGTTTTGATGTAGACATTTCTTAAAAATGAAATTTACCCTGAAAATACAACATTTGTCTGTGCTGTAGTACTGCAGAGTTACTAAGGGTATTGAAAAGGCAGAGTACACTATTTAAAATTTTGGGATCATAGGTTATGTCATTGCAACCATGTCTAAAAATGTCTTCCTGAAAGACGCATGGATGCATTCACACTAATCAACCAACAACATGTTTGTCTGCCCAATCCAAAAAACTTTGAAGGAAATTTTCTAATTTCACAGGTTTTGTAGCGCCTACAAATCACCGTTAAGTCCTGAGGCTGTTGGATTTGATTGTAACAATAATAATAATAATAATGCATCAGATTTCATATAGCGCTTTATCAGAGACCCTCAAAGCGCTTTACATTGGATACATCATTCATTCGCTCACACAGTCACACTTTGGTGGTGGTGGAAACGTGGCTGCCATTCTGCGCCTACGGCCTCTCCGACCACCACCACACAACACTCACAATCATACACCAGTGGAGGACACACACTGGGAGCAAGGTGGGTTAAGTGTCTTGCCCAAGGACACAGCGGACAGACTTGGATTAGGGGGGAATCGAACCGCCAACCTTCCGGTTATTGGACGACCGCTCTACCTCCTGAGCTACTGCCGCCCATTTCCTGCTTCATTTTCCTCAAGTTTGCATTTCTATGAAATACTTCCTTTTGATACCAGAATCTTCATGTTGTCTCTTGAAATTGCACAAAAACTCAACAGTCTCTGAGCAACAAGGCTTTCGTAGGACTCCGATGAGTGACAGACTCTGTGTGAGTTACATCATTTTAGTAAAAGTCTCTTTTGATGCAGAAACTCAACCCTGGAGATCCGCGGCAGACATTGTTACCTAAATATAAAGAAGAATCTTTGTTGTCACCTTGGGACTGAACTAAATCAACAGTAATGTGATGTTTCTATGTCTGTAAAAAAAGTATGGCTGTTGTTGGCAGAGTAAACTGTGACACACTGCATTCCTCAGAAAAAAAGGTGGTTTTTCGAGGTGCAGTGTTCGCAGGAGGCTGACAGTATGCATAATTCAACATTTAGGTGACACCTCAGGGTGTATCCAGGGAATACCGTGCTGCCAATCAATCTGCTGGCTTGCAGGTAGGAAAACATCTTAGTCATGCATTGCACTGCACTACAGCAAAACAACAATAAAATACTGCACATGAACCAGAGAGTTCAGGTTTTTCCTGGAAACACAAATACCTGCACAGAACACACACAGACAGCACACATGACACAGCTTATTTGTATCAATGCCAATTAAGACAAAACACTAAAGAGATGGAAACACAGCAGTCTCAAGAGCCCACAGAGATGACAGCATCTAGAGCTGGTCCAGGCCGCTGATAACCAGAGGACACACTGTAAACCCAGATTAGTGCCTGTGCAAATAGTTTAGGTACATCAATTGAAAAAAAATAGTTTTGTTGCATTACTTAAGTACTTTAGTATGTTGTACTGGCATTATTTGATTAATATTTGCACTAGTAGTTTAAAGTTGATTCAACTCAAAAAATTGTGATGAGCCTCAATAATTTAGATGCACTTATAGTTTTGAGTTCAATCAAATTAAAAAAATAAATTCTACCCTGCACTTTAATCTGATTGGCTAATTGTGCCAAGACATGTCTGGGATTGCTGGATGGAGGACCGTTACTTTTTTTTTTTTTCTCGTTTTCACGGCGATAGCCTTCCTGTTCTCTGCACTTTATTAAAAATTCCTTTGTTTTGGACAAATATCATTTTCTATTTGACTCAGGCATCTCCAAACTATTCCACAAAGAGCCTGTGTGGCTGCAGGTTTTTCTTCAAACCAATCAAGAGCATGCAGTCTGACCAATCAGCTGTCTGAAGACTTTGATTAGCTGATGAAATGAATCAAGTCTGGTGTGCTGCTGCTTGGTTGAAAGAAAAACCTGCAGCCACACCGGTCTTTTGTGGAATAGTTTGGAGATGCCTGCAAATATGCATGGGAGAAGATAAATGTTTTTCAGTTTTTCTGATTTTCACAGAGAACAGAGTAATTCAGCTGCAGCCATTTTGTCCCTCACTGAGCTACTTACGCTCTTCATCTTAGTGAGTTTTCCACATTCATTTTATTTAAAGACATTATTTTATTAAAATTTTGGTAAAAATACATTTGACTGTAGATTTATAATTTTTGTTAAAAGATACATGAAGAGGTGATTTGGAAATGCAAGTATTGTCCTGTCCAATTGTCTTGAAAAAAGAGCACAGCTCTTCAAACACTAAAGACTCAAACATGGAAGTTATGGCAGGACCAAACCCGTTCTATGCTTGCATCAGGGTTGCCCATGTACTTTTTAATCTTTCAGTGCACTGCACACTCATTTATCCCGCTTTCACACTCGACGTGTGGATCAAAAGCAAATCTTAGGGCTCTATTTTCGTGCGCGCCGGTGAGGCGACGGAGGGTGGCGGACCCCGCGCAGTTGTATTTTCGTCTGGCGGAGCCCAGCGTAAGGCCAGTTTGGTATTTTCGTGGACTGAGCCGCACGGAGGCGAGCCGAGATCCGCCAAGCTGGGCGTGGTGGCGTGGCAGGGGGAGGTGTTGACAGAATCAGCGGGCGCAGTGACATTTTCATGCTCGCCACCGGCGTGTAAAGTGCGCTGAAAGCTCGCCGATTCAAACCTGGTCAGCTTTCAGCGTATGGCGGAGCGCAGCTGGTCTAGCAGTATTTTGGTAGACCGGCGGCGTATCGACATACGTCACTGATGCCTCACCGGCAGGTTTCCACAGTGTCAGGCACATTTCAGTGCAATAAGTAATCATCATCAACTATTAATCTGAGTTAGCACATACATTTAGATCTATATAGATATATTCTGATCTATATCTGATCTGATGAGCACGTTTGGACACACAACCTGACCGAATCAACACAGCTGAAACCGCATTAAATTAAATTAAATATCTAGTAAATAAACACAAATGATGAAGTTAACAAGATATTTAATTTGTCTCCCTCCTTTTCTTTCTCCCTCTTCCTCTTATTTCTCGCGCAGCTCGATCTGGATATGTGATCTGGGGCCTCATGTATCAACGCTGGCGGCGCCAGAAAACATTGCGTTCGCCAAGATCGGCGCACACGTCGAGATTTATCATCGCGAAACGAGCGTCGGTTCCAGCGCTAATCAACGCAAAGTGAGGAGGTGGTGTAGAAGTTGGCGTTGAGCCGATACTTGCGTTGACGGCACTTTGGCGACGCTGTGTGGCGGTGTTTGGTGACTCACTATGTGACAAGCGTGCACCTCATCCCCGTGGCCGAGCAGCACGTCGCCCCACATGACGAACCAGCAGCAGACGGAGGGATGCGAGCTGATCCCTACCGGGCCGCCGTCCTCGCGCGGGAGAATCTCATCGCCACAGTGTGAATGGGTAAGAAGTGAATACACAGTTCAATGAGCCAAATTATTTTATTTTGTCCACCAGACGCTCGAGGACATTTATGAGCCGGTCCAGCCGCTCGTTGATCCCCGCGATCCCCCTGATGATTTCTTCCTGCGATTGCAGGACCCCCTCCGCGAGGACCCTTCCACTGCGTCCGGGTGGTCCAGCGGAAGCGCCGCGGCTGGTGGACGCGGAAGCGCTTGTCGGCGCGCTGGTGCTGATGCTGGTGCTGGTGCTGGGGCCGGGGGCTGGGGTGGCCCAAATGCCACTGGTCCTGGCCGACGACTCCGAGCCGGCGGATGGGCTGCCGCGGGCCGGGGTTCCGCAAGCCGGCGACACGGCCGACACATTGATTTCTGTGACACAATAAAAGTATTGGTTCATTTCAATTCCTGCTTCTGTGTATCTGTAGCGTTTACATCTCTCTCCACTGTATCATAGGTAATGTAATCCAGTATTTAGAGGTCAGTTATGCACATTACAGTTGTTTATTGCATAAACAGTTATCGAAAAATGAAGTTAAGGGCGAAGTATAAATCACGTCTAAAAATAGACTGAATCCCGACGTAGAAATGAAGTATAAACTTAGACTAGACGTCTAATATACGTCTTTTGCTCAGTGGGATGGCAAAGCATGTGGACATTTGTGTGACACGCCACTTACCCTATAATAATAATCGCCACCACCCGCTGCTCAAACGGCGTGAGGGTCTCCTCCCCCGGACCCCCACCTGTCTGGCCGGTACTCCTCCGGAGGGCAGCTGTACGCCGCTTGACCTCCACCTTGAGGTCCGACCACTTTTTTTTTTTATCTCCGCGGGGGTGCGTGTCTCGGAACCCACCGCGTTCACCCTCTCGCAAACTTTCTCCCACTCCAAGCGTTTTCGTTTTGCACTGACGCCACTGGACAGGCTGCCAAACAAAACTCGCTCCTCCACCTCCGCCACCAGCACCTCCACCTCGCACACCGTAAATTTAGTTTTTCTTTTGTCTGCGTGCGAGGACAGGGAGACCCTATGTAAATAAATCTGCATATTTATAGGAGGGCGTAACGGGGGTGGGCCCGGTCACTCCGACATCTGCGCTCAATTCCAAGCTGATTGGGATTTATCAAGGAAACACACGTGGCTTTCGGCGCCCGCACACCTTGATACATACGGATTTTTTTCAGCGTGACGGACCTTGCGTGCGCTCGTTTCTGGTATGAGTCCCATGCAAGTGTTGATACATGAGGCCCCAGATGAGTTATTTACTTTAAGCCTACATACGAATATTATATTTAGTTTTGTGAACCAAATTTATTTTATATGCCAACATCTATGAAAGAGAGAGCCATGAGGCCAAGGAGCGCGATGTGTCATTGCGCACAGATGGTTGTGATTTCAATGCCATTATTGGAATTTATGGTGTGATCTGTGCGCACAACTCATCTTTGTCATGTGGGATTTAAATATATGCAGCACATACATTTAGATCTACAGTACATCAGTATGTTTTGATGTATATCTTAGGAGCGCGTTTGGCACGCCTAATTGCCACTCGACCTGACCGACTAACACAGCTGAAACTCTGATGCAAACTAACGACTTCACGTCTCTCTACCAACCACAAACAGCTTCGTCATCACAGAGAGAGTATATATTTGGCATGTCATCTCAGAACACTGAGAAAAGAATCAACGTACACTGAAGCAAAGTAAGTTATGACTGTTGTTCTCAAGATTTACCTGCAGCATGTGATCTCACATAGCTACAAATTTAATAATTTCCATGCTTAACATTATATACAAAGATGGAGTACATAATTGCAAGGAGGTGGAGGAGGAGGAGGAGAAATTACAGGGCGAGGGTGATTCATCACAGGGCATCATATTTAACCTTAACAGAGCAGGAATGCAGGTGGGCCACATGGATAACGCCTCCAACACCGTGTTCAATACAACTGCCTTTTAACAATCTACTATTTTCTTTGACACAGGAACAAATTACACCTGCCTCGTGAGGTGGTCCACGCGATTACACGGATTGTGGCCTCAGATGCGGACCCCGGTGGCCCATGCGCTCTCCCAGTTGCTGTGAAGGTGACAGTGGCTCTGACTTTCTTCGCCACCGGGTCTTTCCAGCATACCGTGGCCTCGGTGGTAGAGATAAGTCAGGCCGCTGTCAGTTTGGCCATACATGCAGTGTCCACCAGTCTAGTCCGACACGCAAATGAGCACATCATTTTCCCATCATCACCTGCAAGCCAGCTGGAAACGAAGCGAGGGTTCTTGTTGAAATATGGATTCCCTGGGGTCCTTGGAGCAATTGACTGCACACGTGCAGTTGCGCGCACCAGAGACCCAAGCCCTCATTTATGTGAATCGTAAGGGAGTCCACTCCATCAATATCCAGGTGATTTGTGACTCAAATTGCCTGGTGACAAACGTGTACGCTAATTACCCCGGGTCTGCACATGATTCATTCATCCTGGCGAATTCTATCATCCCTACAGTCTTTCAGGGGGACACCCCTCTGGATGGGTGGCTGCTAGGTGATAACGGCTATCCACTGAAAACGTGGTTGATGACGCCATACATTACACCTTCAACAAGACAGCAACGTGTTTTTAACAGTGTCTTCAGCAGTGCTAGGTCAGTCATTGAACGTACTTTTGGAATCCTCAAAATGCGTTTCAGATGTCTGGACCGGTCAGGTGGTTCATTGACATACAGCCCGCAGAGTGTCGGTGCATTCTTTGTGGCATGTTGTGTTTTACACAACATAGCTATACGCCATGGATGCCACTATGACGAATTGCATGTGCCATGTCAGCAGGGAGAGCAGCAGAGCGCACAGGTGAGGAGGGACCGCCTCACAGCACAGCTCTGCCCTTAAGTGTGAGTATTTGCTTTCATTCATTTATACACTTGATTTGTAATTATCCACATTAAAACATCCAATAAATAGTCAAACATGATTGCGTTAACAAGTGTTTTATTGTTGTTCTCCCCTCCCAACCCCCCTTCTTCTTCTTCCTCCTCCTCCTCCTCCTCCTCCTCTTGGGTCTGGACGCTGCAGTCGGTCCGTCAACCCAGGGGGCCGCCCCCCTCTTGTGCGCGGCCTCAGCGGCCACCTGGGACAGGCGGGGGCGGATGATTGTGCTGGTGGCAGCAGCCTTTCGGCTACCTGGACCAGCCGCTGTAGTGTAGCAACGCCAGAGGCTAGGGGGAGCAGGCTGGCCTGGAGGACCTCCTGAAGCGACTTCACCTGGGCCTCCAGCGACCCAAGCCGCGTCCCCATCGACCCCAGCTCCCTCTCCAACATCTGAAAACCAGCCCGCTGGGTGTCCAGGAAGGGCCGGTCCTCCCGCTGAGCCCGGTTTCGTCTTCGACCCCGTGTTGCCGGCTCGTGTCCGTGTCCTGCCCCCTCCTGCGTCTCCAGCTCCGGCTCCGGCTCCCCCTGGTCATCCTCGCCCTCCTCCTCGCGGTCGTCTTCGTCCTCTCCCTCCTTCTCCTCCTCCCCGACCACCTGCTGCTGCTGCTGTTGTTCTTCCTCCTCCTCCTCCTCTCTTGTGTGGTGCTGCTGCCGCGACGGAGGCAATTCTGCTGAGGCTGTCCAGAAATTTTATTTTAATAAATCACAGAAATTCTTTTTTTTTTTTAAATGTTAACAATACTTTAATTTAGAATAAAGAAGTTATAAATTGTGTGAGCAAAGTTCATTTCACATGCAAACATTAGCGGAAAGGGGGAGAAAATACAATCAGGCTTTGTTTGATCCGTCTTTACGCACAGGTGGTTCCGATTTCAATCCCATTACGCATGGCATTTTTTCAGATCACCTGTGTACACAACACACCTTTGTAACACGTGGTTAAATATACATGATGTTAGTGTCTTTATTTGTGGAAAAGAATGTTTGTCTTACCCGTGAGTCCAACCTCAGAGACACCAAACCCCTCGATACTGATTTTAGGGAGTGTGGAGGACGCCACGTCCTCCGCAGGGCTCAGCACCACACTCGGTGAGGGGCCGCCTCCGGTCGTTGCCGTCTGGCGACGGTGTTGGGATAATTTCAGTTTAGCCCGTCGTCTAACATCATTGAACCGCTTTTTGCATTGCGAAGCGGTTCTCAGCACGTCCGGGCAAACTTGGTTGACAGCAGTACTTACCTCCTCCCAGGCTGCTTTTGCATCATCGGCCCGTGGAGGTCTGTTCGCGTGACCGTATATCCGGCCACTGCGAGACTGGACCTCCCAGACCAGAACATCAGTTTCCTCCTGAGAGAAGTTCGGCTGTCTCGCACTCATTTCTTCCATTTCTGCCATCTGCAAGTCTACTGCACGACAATGCCAATGCGATTTAAAGGCGAGGAGAGGAGGTTATTTGATTGGCGCAAATTGGACTCGGCTGTGTTAAACCCACTACACGCCCTCTCTCCTCCCCGTCTACGACTTATGCTGCTGGGAGGAGCTGAGTTAGGGAGGGGGGATACTTAACACCGGGCTGCGCGGCTCACCAAAATACCAAAATGTGCTTGGACACGCCTTGTCAGCGCGGCGGATCTGACTGACGCTGCGCTTGCGGCACGTCTCCGGCGAGGCACAAAAATAGAGCCCATAGACTTGAAAATTAAGTTTCGTTGTTTGTCATGTGAGTTTCTTGAGACGTGCTTTGAGTATTGATCAAGAACTTCCTGACATACCGGCCTCAGACAGTCAAACTGGGCCCCCACTTCTCCTTCACCCGCACACTGAGCATCGGATCTCCACAGGGGTGTATGCTGAGCCCCATACTCTACTGCCTCTACACCCACGACTGCAGCCCGACCCACAAGGACAACATCATTGTCAAGTTCGCCGACAACACCGCAGTGGTTGGACTCATCTCGAAGGGCGACGAGGTAGCTTACAGAGGGGAGGTCCTGAAGCTAGCGGAGTGGTGTTTGGAGAACAACCTCTCTCTGAACACCAAGAAAACGGGAGAGCTCATCATGGACTTCAGGAGGCATGGCACGGATCCACCCCCCCTCCACATAAACGGCGAGCGTGTGGAAAGAGTCCACACTTTCAAGTACCTCGGTGTGACCATCTCCGACAATATCACCTGGACAGACAACATCACCTCCATCCTCAAGAAGGTTCACCAACGACTACACTTCTTGAGGGTCCTGAGGAAGTACAACTTAAACTCGGACCTCCTGCTGACCTTCTACCGCCCGTCCATCTTGAACCTGCTCACATACTGCATCACAGCGTGGTTTGGCAGCTCCACTGCTGCTGACAGGACGAGGCCGCAGAGTGTCGTTAAAATGGCGCAGAAGATCATCGGCTGCCCTCTTCCCTCCCTAATGGACATTTACACCATTCCACCCCAGTCACGACCTGTTTGACCTGCTGCCCTCAGGGAGGCGCTATGGAAACATGAAGAGAAGGACAAACAGATTAAAAAACAGCTTCTTCCCATCAGCTATTAACATCCTAAATTCAAATCTGCATTAATGCCCCCCTCCTTCCCCCTCCTGTGAAACATTCATTCAACCCTACATCTCGTGCAATAACCTCCATGTCAGATGTACTATTGCTCTCATGTTTACATATCTACCTCGTATTTATACTCATATTTATACTCATATTCCTTTTTATTCTGACACTTATATATTGACAATTTATTTAATATTTACACTTTTGCACTTTCATACTTTTGAGTCTTACGATTTTTAACTGCACTGTTTTAAGAGAGTTTTTACATTTTAAATTTCATTGTACCTTGTATAATGACAAATAAAAGCATTCTGATTCTGACTGATAAAATTTGTTAAGCTCATTGAGGAAGGAGACATCAGAGGAGGCGGGGGAGGGGTTGGTGGTCCTGTAGTCTGTGATGAGTGGAGTCTGGAGTCCTTGCCACATACGATGGGGGTTGGAGTTGAAAAAGTGTTCTTCTATCTTCCAGTCCATATTCCAGTCTGTGTTTCTGAACCGATCCTGGAGCACAGCGTCTGTTTCCTCTGGCCACACTTTTATTGTCCTCACAGTGGGTTTCACATGTTCGATGAGTGGTAAGTACTGAGGTGTGAGGAACAGGGAAAGATGGTCATCTGCTATCCTGTTGGCTTGGTGTGTGTGACGCCCTGCTAACTCAGTAGCATTATCCAGGCAGCTGTTGTTTAGCCATGTTTCAGTGAAAATCATGATATTTGAGTCCATAATCTGTCTGTTGTTGGTGATGGAGAGCCATATTTCATCCATCTTGTTTGCCAGAGAACAGACATTGGTGAGGAAAATGCTGGGTAAAGGGAGCCAGTGTGGTACTTGCTTTAGCTTAGCTCACAGGCCTCCGCGCCTACCTCGCCTTTGTTTACATTCTATGTGCTGTCTGCGTGCACTTCCGCCCAGCCGGGAAGAGTGAGCAGCCTCTGGCGTTCTGGAGATCTCTTGGATGAGTCAGAGATCAGCGATAAAACTGTCGGAATGTTGAGTCCAAATGTCCAGAAGCTCACGTCTGCTGTAGGACAGCAGCACAGAGCAATTCTGGATGAATAATCCAGAATTGGATAGAAAATCGCTAAATAGCTAATTCTGGAGAGATGCTGAGCCTTGTGTTGTTCACGTGCCGCCATATTATTCATTGTTCTCAGGAATTTAACTTTTTCTATTGTATCTTGCCTCCAGAAAAATGTTCCATATTTGTTGGGAATACAAAAATGGTTTTGAAAAATGTTATTTCTATTTTATGTTTGTTGTGGCTGTTGCCACGTCCATGTTTTTGGCAAATGTATAAAGTTTAATGACAACCTTTGGTGTAATATATTTTTAAGTTAGCATAACTCGTAATTTTGAGTTTCATTAAAGATAAATACAGCTTAATGCACATGAGAAAATTAATTACTGTCACTTAAAATGCTGAGTTGAATAGGTATGAATTTTAATACAGATTATGAGTACAAACAACTTTTCTTTCAGTGTATTCCACTCAAAAAATCTATTCTATTCCTTTTACGCCAGAATATCCCTTTAATCATGCTGCACCTTGCAATAGTGTTGCATTCATTTTTCAGGACATACACAGCCAATACACTGAACCGCCAATTTTAAAGACATGACAGCCATCATGCACTCAGATATATCACTGGCAGCATGATGTTTCTGCACAGAGATAAAGACCAGTCAATCACCCCTAGGGGGAATTAATGTCTCTAGAACAAGTGCTGACAATATTTGGTACATGTTGGTATTTCTTTGTAAAATAATTGGTGTATATGTCCTTTAAAGTTGAACCAATTTTGCCACGTTTAAACTAAACTTTTTGTTGAGACTTTATCTGGGTAGATCCCTGAAAAAAAAAAAAAAACAGGCAACAAAAAGCAGTCACTATATTCCACTGTGTGTCTGGATAAGAGTCTGTATCTCTGTTTCTTTGTGTCTGTCTCCCTATCTAACTCTGAAGCGGTTTTACACCAGAGAGTTGTGTACGTGCTGTAGCCGGTGGCGATGAAGTGCTCTGACATTGTAGAGGGCGTTTAAAGGTTTTCACTTGAGGAAAAAAAAGGTGGCATAACAGCTCTCACAGTAGGAATTAAAAGGCTGCTCTCTGATTTAATTTGACCTTGTTATCACAGGACTGTTACCAAGCTCACATAAAAATCTAATGAATCCTCATAACCACCATTAGCTGCAGCACGCTCAGGGTCTGTAGGAATATTAGCTGCTGTTCTCTGCCTACTCATTTGACATGAACTTTACAGAGTATATGATTTAAAATGAGAGCAATAAACCGTCTTAAATATCAGTTTGTTGATTTAATCTTCAGTATTAACTTCAAACCAAAACTCAATGCTTTTGTATTTTGTCATTCAACTGGGCTGCCAGTCAGTCAGTGTGTAGAGAGGTCAAAGGTTAAAAGAGGACCTGTCACCACCACTTTGACAGATCTGCTCCCTGAGCCTAATGACCCTGATCCTGAAAGGTAGCACGCTTTAATCTGGTGCTCAATGTGAAGGTTACCCAGCAGATCCCCGGGGGACCAATGATCACCCTGCTGACATCTCCTCTGACACCTTTCATGAACCAATAAAAACCATTACTGCCAGTTAGCGCTCCCTCTCCTGACTGGACCACTAGTCCGTCAGCCTCATCACAGTGACCGATCTTAAATCAATACCTCATATCTTTATTACACACTGACATGCTGTGGTCGGCACTACCCTTGGGTTTTACAGAGAGAGAAAACATCATCCAATAAAGGTCTAATAAAGATCAAGAGCTGTCACTATGACATCATTTATAAGCCTCAATATCAGCACTTATAAACACTTGTTGGTGTTGGTGCAGCTAGAGTTTCCAACCTTTTGACAACACTGACCAGACGGCAGCTGTTGTGTTTCTGACAGACCCAAGGAGTGATCTGTCCAAGCTGCTGCGTGGGCTTCAGTTTTAGCCAGCTCCTGAGGTATATGGTGGATCAGCAGGGTCATAAGCCATAACTGTCTCCTATGGGTGGGTGAGGCATCTACATGAAAACATGAACAATGACTACATAATCCCTGCATACGGACTGCAAATGCATGTGCACAAATCTGTACCAGAGGAGCTCCATTCAAATGCAGTAGTCCTGTGAACGGGCTTTATTGGCACTGATCATCCTACTGTCTCTGAAAGCTCCGCTCTCTGTCTTCCCCATCACCATTTGTGCTGTTGTGCATGTACTCCAACAAAGCCATGAACTTTTTTTCATATTGTCCTCCAGTGTTTGCAAGGAGGAACAACTGACCATGTTATTATCCGGGTTGAAACACACATTGCATACAGAGCCCAATACTTCAGCCCTACCTAGATTTAGATACAGAGGCTACCAGGTCTGCAAACTTACATTATGAGTCTACATTCTACTGTAGTTCCTGGTACAGCTAAGCTGCTTGTCTAATGGGAAATACCAACTTTAATCCCCTTCATCTGTGAGACATAAAGCCACTGTGAGCTCCCTCCATCATTTCTCTTTTTTCTTCATCCTTTCCATGGCAACAAGTTCATGCTTAACCCAAGGGAAGCTGATCCAGTATGTCACCCCCCCCCCCCCCACACACACACACACACACACATACACACACAAATACACACCCCTTTGCAGCTACCTCGTCACGGAGGAAAAACCTGTCTTATGACAACTTTCATGTATTGAAGATTTAGAGAGCTGCCTCTTTTGGAGTTTTTACACCCAGCAGGGTCCACCGCGCCGGACTGGTCTTTAGTAAAGGAGGCCTTTAGGGAGGTTAGAGGGTCAGATGCGGAGCTCACGGCACTGCCAAGCTCATGTTAGA